AGCGAGTCCTGCAGACTAAACCCAGCAGACATGAGAACAGTTTTTGTCCCACTGCTGTGATGCTACTGACCAGCTGATCCGTTCTCAGCAGAACCCTGCAGACTGCTGACGTTGGTGTTTGTCAGTTCTTGCATCGCTGCACGTGTGTGTTTTTTTTTCTGCTAGATGTTTATATTCTTGTATATATTGATCTTGTTTTATTTATTTTATTATTATTCATTTTATTTTTTTCTCTCTATCGTTGCTTTACTTTTTTCTTTTCCTTGCTCACTCCCGGGGCGACACCAACAGCCGGAACCAGATTCCATGTATGTCGTGTACATACTTGGCCATTAAAGCCGGTTCTGATTCTAATTCTGATTCTGACTCGGTCACAGAGAAAACTGTTTTCATTTAACTTTAATAACTGACTGAGCAGGTTTGACCAGCTGTAGAGCAGAAACTAAAGTTAGGAGGGTCAGTTTTAAAAACATTTTCTAACTCTGCGGATCAGAGGTCACAGCATCAGTACAAACGTGAACACTGAGCTCAGAGCTGTACCGTGGTCGTCCTGGTTGCTCTCCAGGTCGCTGCCCTCGTCGTGGTTCTTGTGCGCTCCGGAGCCGAGACCTCCGTGACTGTGGCCGTGACCCGTCTGGTGAAGAGTCACCGCCATGCTGAGGGCAGACATCCCATTAGAACCAACACCGGACCTCCACAACTAATCACTGGTTTTCACTCACATGATGTTCGCTGCCACAGCGCAGCCGGACGTAATGAGCATGATGTGGCCCTCGATGGTGAAGTCTTTGTGGATCAGGCGCTCCACGGCCAGGTACACCAGCACACCTGTGACCAGCCAGATGGTGAAGACGGACAGCAGCGCTCCCAGGATCTCTGAGGACACAAGAAACCAGACGAAGCTGTACTGATCCGAAGAGAGACGAGCACAGAGAGTTCAAAAGTCCACATATCGCCGTTCTGAGCTCTGGGCACACCATCATGGTACTGAAGTCCACAGAGGAGGGTCCAGATTGATCACCTTAATGGACTTCTTCCATCGGTTCTGAGCCTCAGAACTTCATCAGTACAGCAGATAGACACATGACATTTAGGAGGAAGAACACATCTGGGTTCTGCTAGAACCTGACACCAGATCAGTTCTACATCCATCCAGGTGTCTCAGTCTGAACACTGGACCTGGTTCTGTTCATGTCCTCTGTCAGCAGCTGGTAGCATCAGTATTATGGGATGGATCATAGTGGTACCAGTTTAATGTCTATGACATAGAGTCACAGAAACAATCAGTGGTACCCTGGATGTGGTTCTGGTTCTGATCAGTCACCAAAGGAAACTATACAAAGTGCATTCAGAACCAGTTCTAAACGATATAAGGACCGGTGTACCTCCAGAACCTACCAGAACCACCTGCAGACAGGATTCATTGTGTGTCTGTGTTTGTCATGGTAGTGCACGTTGCTGCACAGTAGTGCACAGTAGTGCATGATAGTGCACGTTACTGCATGGTAGTGCACGTTGCTGCATGATAGTGCACGTTGCTGCACAGTAGTGCATGTGATCCCTCCCAGTGAAACCATTGAGCATCTTTACTTTTATAGACACAGAGAGTTTCTCTGCTCCTCTTATTTCTGTGCAGTTGTTTCATTTCAGCTCAGAATGAGAGTTTGTGGTTCTGGTTTGAGGCTGAGACCGGGTCGACGGGTTTGTTTTGTTTGTTTGTTTTTTAAAGATCTTGACTTTCTGATTTTGGAAGTTAAAATTTCACAAATGTCTTCATATACAATCAGATTTTATGCTGTAAATGTTTCAGGATAATCAGAGACGGTCGAGCAGAAACAGCTGATAGTGGTAAACAGAACCACTCTGGACTGAAACAGAACCGCAGACAGTTTGGTGATTCCTGAGGACCAATCAGTGGACCCAATGGAAGCTGGAAACAGAACCAACGGTACTGTTCTCATGTTCTCTACATCAGTCTAATGATGAACCAGTCGGCAGCATTCAGAGCTTGTTTAGTCTTTAGATCCTCTGATAGAGTCCAGTTCTGGTTCTGGTTCCTCCTCAGACTGATGGTGTGTGATCTGGTACCAACACTTTGAAATGATGCTGCAGGATTATCAGGGTTAACAGAACATTGTGGCTCAGAGTGAATCCTGTCCAGAAGATGATCCTGGTTTCAAAGTAAAACCTTGTCCAGGTCTGGTTGTTGGTTCTTTAGAGACCCTGAAGGTCAGATAGAGAATCAGAGTCCAGGTGGACCGTTTACCTGCTCGGTGCCAGCCGAAGCTGAGTCTGTGTGTGGCCGGTCTGGAGGACAGCCACAGCGACAGCAGGCTGATGATGAAGCTGGTCAGATCCGCCAGTAGGTGAGCGGCATCGGTCATTACGGCCAGGCTGCCGGCCAGGTACCCACCTGAGGACAGACAGGGCTTCATTAGTCAGTCTAGGGCTGGAGAACCCGACACTACACCTGAGGAGGCTTAAAGAACGAGAGGTCTGAGAACCAGAACATCTACTGCAGCTGACCTCCGGATCACAAACAGCTTCAGGTCCATCAGTGATGAAGCTGAACCACCAGCACCAGAGACTCAGCAGCTTCTTACAGTTTAAATCAGCATCAAGCTTCACTGAGATCAGCCTGAACACAAACCCGACGGCAGAACGGGCCCGACTCACCGATGATCTCTCCGATCATGAAGACCAGGCAGATCACAGACACCAGGTAGAGCCTCTTCCTGGCCGACCGCTTCTCCGCCTCTCGGTCCTCCTGGGCATGGCTGTTGTCATGGCAATGCTTGACGTCGCCATCTTTCTGCGGCGCCTCGTGGTTCGACCCGCTGGACAGAAAGATCCGAACATACGTGGAGGTCTTTTACACATCGTCTCATTTACTTTGGTAAGAATTTGTTTATTTCTCTTTGTTCTTCAAATCACAGCAGAACATCTACAGAAAGTCCGTTCTCAGCCAATCAGCAGCGTTTCTGCCTTCTATGTACAGCATGTATCATGTATACTATGAATTCTTCTTCATGGTTGTTTGGTGACGGTCAGCAGCTCTCTGTCCCATCCACACTCATTAAACTGTACATTCTGACATTGTTCATGAGGAGAAACTGAGCAGAACCAGAAAAGTTTCCTTCTGAATCACTTTGCCTGAAGTGTGTTTGTTTTACTGTGGGACAGAAATAAACGAGTGTCTGAGCTCCGGGGCATTCTCACATCATTTCAAGCCAATAAAGTAAAGCTGATGTTTAGTCCCACGACCGACCGGACCGGTTCGCCGAGGAGCAGAACATCAAACACCGACAGTCTGCAGACTAATGGCAGACGGCTGCTTATTTCCAGGAGTTCTCATGTTTGCTTTGAGCTCTGAGCCTCCAAACAGCAGCTTTAACTCTGACAGAACCGAGGATCCATCATTTATCAGTGAAGCCTGCAGAAGAGTGGAGACGTTAGTGCTGAACACAAACCTCCAGGAAACAGCTGCTGATGGATTAACGGCTGATCACATCTCTGATAAAGACAGCAGCTCCTGATGGGACCCAGAACCAACTCTGGACCAGAACCTCCGAGTTTCAGCTTCTATGTTTAATGTGAATGAAGCTCAGAACTTTTCCTTCATCTGGATTGATTTTTATTTTCTTTCTCTGATAAAAACACTGAAGTTGTTAACTTCTGAATAAATTATTTTTCTGCGGCTCCTGACTAAAGAAATCCTGAATGAATAATGAAGCAAATGAAGTAGAATTATTGTTAAGAACAATAAGACCAGAGGAGCTGCTGGAGCACCTGAGCAGCTCTCAGGCCGTCACACGGACTCAGGCTGGACTTGGAGGCGCTTTTGCGCTCAGTGGATCTAGTCTCGTGTGGAAAACAAGGATCGTGAGCAAACAGAAAGTTGATCCGAAACAAACAGATTCTTTATTATTAATTATCATTAATTAGCATTAACTATCATTAACTATCTCTCTGATGGACTCCGCAACTCGCCGTGCCACAGTAATCAGAGTATTTCCCACTAATTAACGAGTTACCTTCCAGCTGAGTAGCAGCTCTTCGGTTCGGTCATCAGGTGAAACTTCTCCGGGTCTTTGCTCCTGAACATGATGCTGCTGATGGTTCTGATG